TATCCGCAATTATAAACCCTGAGGGTACCGCAGTCCCCTCTGCCACTACACTATCCAATCTTTCTCAAAGAAGAAAGCAGTTGGCAACCAAGAAGCAGAGAACCCCAAAGAAAAACGCTCCCAAACCAACCGCACCCACGAAGAAACGAAAAACCAAACCTACCCCAATTCCATCTAGCAGTGATTCTGATGAGGATAGGCAACCGATTGCTATCCTCAAGAAAAGAAAAACCGATTCCCCTAGCCAAATGTGTGACCGGACCGATGCTGAAGCCTCTCAAAAACCATCATTTTCCAGTCAGACTCAGAAACTGAGTCTGATTCACAAAATCGTGGAGACTCCCCCCCAGTTCACTCCCAAGGGGATGATACTGGTGCACGCCCTAAGGTCTCCAGGGCTTCCCGACTGCATTTCTTTTCACCAGAGGAGTTGAGCTCCATCCTTTTGAACGTCACCCATACACTACAAACACCTTCCCACCCGCAGGGCACTTCTTCCGCCCATGCCAGAACTGAGCCGAGGCCACACTTGACCACGGGTCAAGGAGACCGAGGAAGCTCAGGAAATCCTACTCTGCTTACATCTTTTACAGGTGGTTTAGGCACGGTGAGCATAAATGTGCTAGGATCCGTGGACCCGAAGGACACTTCGGTGCGTTTTTCAGGATTTGACGGAGAAGATTCAAATGATTCTTGGTTACGGTACACACCAGTAACCGAGTCAGATAAAAAGAAATATGCTGCATTCAGAAGGGCATTCCAAGCCCGCAAGGAACAACAGATCAAGCAGCAGCAGCAAAAGGAGCAGGAAATCCAGCTCGTGGCTAAGTATTGGGCAAATGCCATCAGCAATGCCAGTACCGTAGCCACCATTCAAAAGATTCAAGCTTGGATGGATGAGATGGCTGAAACAATTTTAAAAGCTCAAGCTTCAGGTGCAGCCATGGGTACCTCCAACGTCCCTCCTACTCCAACGCCCAATCCAATTCCCACTCCAACGGTCCGTGAATCCCAAGACGAAGGTACTGCAGTCGAAGTCAGTTCTGCACCCACCTTTGGTCTTGATGATGAAGATATCCAAGAGGTCAACAAGCCCAGCCCCTCAGATGATGACTTAATGATGTTTGATGAGGAAGAGGAGTCCAGCGGTTCCCACCATTCAACTTCCAAGCCTAAAGAAAAGAAGAAAAAGAAGAAGAATGCGGTCTCCAGAAAAGAGTTCCTAAGCCTACAAGCCAAAGTTGATCAGATTTTGGCTGCGGTCAAGCCCACTCAACCGCAACCTGAAGATACTCCAGGACCGCAGTCCCTGATCGAACGTATTGAACGTCTGGAAACAAGGGAACGCATGGCTGCTAAAAGAATCTCTCTCAAAGTAGAGATGGGAATCCGGTCCCTTGACAACAACCGCAAGGCGGTCCACAAGGAATTTATGACTGCAGCGGAACGCCTCATCTCTGAGGTGACCGCAATCAAAACGGATCTCCAAGCGGCCATCATGGATCAAGCCTCTCAGTCTAAGAAATTGATAGATGAGACTCATACTGCTTATAAGTCCACTATCTCTGTTCTTCAAGCCACAATTAACAGACTGCAGAAATCCCTGTCCTCCAACTTCCATGGTCCAGAGATCCTCCAGCTCACAAAGGAAATCCACAAGCTGCTCTTCAGCTCCTCCACACCTAACAATCAACAATTGGCAGAAGCTCTAAAAGCTCAATTCCAAGAAGTTTGTGCCAAGGTTGATGGACTTAAGCAATGGCTTGAGGAAGCTCCTCCGTTGCATCCCTCAAGAGGGGGAAGTAAAGAAGAAGAAGAAGAAGAGGAAGTCCATCACTCTGAATCCATTTCTCAACATCAGAGTACCCCCATCACCACAGAAAAAATTCCCACACCGCAGCCTTCACCGCAACCATCTCAACATACTCCATCTCCTCACACTTCACCTCAAAAGGGGTTCACTCCCAACAAGCCAGAAACTCCTCCCCACTTCAAAAACCTTGCGGAGAACATGTCATCTCCAAGCTCAACAGACTCTCCTGCCACCGCACAAAGAAAACACGACTGGAAGGCAGCCAAACTAGCAGAGCTTATCTGGAGAGAATGCGGTTTTGATACCATGATGGATGAATCCTTGATAAATTCTTGGATCAATCCTCACTGCAGGTTGCTGGATGAAGACTATCGACCCCACCTTACCTACGATGAACCTCCCTCGGACGGGTACTGGGATGTACCAATTTCTCCAAATGCCAAGTACTTCACAGTATTTGAGCAATTCGACCGCAGCCTTCCTGACCACAAGAGACTGCCAATGGAGTTTGAGAGACTTAGTCTTTTTCACGCTAAACATGCCTCCTCCATTGAGAACATATGGTCTAACGACAGACCATCCGCAGTCAAGAATTACAAAGTCCGGAAATTTATGAAGGCTGAATACATCCAGTACACCCTCACAAGAAGGGAACATGACTACGTCCGCAGCCAGACAGATTTTCCTTTCATGAATCCGGAAGAAATCTTCCTCATTGCCAAGGTGTTTCAAAACAAATCAGAAAAGCACCCCAAAATGAAAATTGCGCTTGAAAAGGCCAACACTTTTCTGAAAGAAACTGTCTGCGATTTTGCCAAAAATAGATGCGGATATCTACCCCACCATCCTCAAGAAGTTTGATCTCCCACCTCTTGAACCTGTGCCAATGCCTACTGAAGGCTTTCAAGAAAGATCTCTAGGCGTAAAAAAACTTTCCTGAACTTGGAGTCATATTCAAAAGGAAGACCGACAATGTCAAATACTTCATTCCTATGACTGCCATGCATCGCCTCACCAGAAAACAACTTGACATCTGCCGAACCGCAGTCGAAAGATCGAAGCACACCACCGCAGAAGTCAAGTTCGAGATCTCAAGAAGAATCACCTGGCTGGAAAACATCAGGAAGTTTTGGTGGATTCTGATCAAGTTTCTCAAACTTGATAGCTGAACCGAAGTTAAAGAGGTCACTTAGGGGGAAATTGTTGAATCATGAAAGTGACCCTCTTGAACTTTGCTACCGCAACCACTTCAGCACCCACAGTCAGTCTTTTCATCAGCAACCGCAACCGGACTCTTGCTACCGCAGTCAACTTAGCTAGATTACTTCTTTTGTCTTTATTGTAATACACTCTATTATCCAGTATGCCTTGCATGGCTACGTATAGAGATGTAATCTAGTGCATTTCTGAGTTTCTATAAATAGAGACTTATTCTCTTGTATCCAATACTGATAATTTATGCTTCTATTCTAAATACATTTCTCTGAAGTTATCTTCTCTATTTCTCTATCTTTCTACTCTTCACTTCTTACTTGTTACTGGAACATAACTGATTATAACCTCTCTTCGGAGCAAGTCTTTGAGACTTAATCACCAAGTTTGATCTACCTTATTAACTCGGTTTGAATGCATTCCTTGTTATGAATCAACTTGTGTGTTTTCTTGATATAACAATTGTCGTCATTTCTATTTCTTTACATTTCCGCAACTAACTCTCTAACTATTTAACTCTAACTTATTAATATTATTGTTGAGCTTTCAGATCCTTTGAGATTAACTATTCCGCAATATACTTGTTCTAACGTTTTGTGCAAGTGTATCTCTAAGTTTTTCTCTCAACAGGTTGCGGTGGGACCCAGCTTAATTTTCTTAAATGTGGTTGCAGGTTTAGGGTGGGGAGCTACAGATATGTAGGGTCTATTAATTTTTTTAAATAATATAAAAAAATAAATATACATAAGTAAGAAAATTAATTAAAATTGGTACAATAGTCTTTTGAGGTAAGACAGAGACCAAACGCACAACAAAAACAAACATAATGGATCATACAAGTTAAAAAAATAAGTTAGAAACCAAATGCACAAATTACCCAAACCATAAGGATTATTCATGTAATTTACTCTTACCTTTTCAGTTTGCTCATATCTAGGTAACTATTTTTTTTTGTACATATCTAGGTAACAAACTTTTTGGAAGTGTTCACATATGACCGGTTATGACCGGATCTAACCTGCTACAGCCGGTCATAATGGTCATATGTGAACACTTCCAAAAAGTTTGTTACCTAAATATGTACAAAAAAAAGATAGTTACCAATACGTGAACAAACCAAAAAAATAATTACCTTAAGAAGTCTTATTCCTAAATATCATCAGCTGAAATGCTATAAAATAAACGTACACTCACCCACTATCCTATTAAATCTATTTTTGTCTACACTTGAACTATCACTCTTTGGCTAATGACACATTGATATTTGATTACGCTAAACTATAAGCACTTTAGTTTCTTATTACAAAATTTTATTTTGAAAAGATTACCACTTATAACTATATGATAACCAATGAAAAGCTAGTAAACTAATCATTGGTATAATAAGATACGTTTTAAAAACATGGTTACTTTAATAACTAATAATTTGAATATACATGGACAAATTTCATAATCTACATTTTTTGTCCACTATGGGACTAGGGCCCAATGTTATCTTGATACCGCTAGGTTAAATATCCTTACTTTTTTTTCAGTTTAATCACCAAAATAAGTTTTTGACGGGTTAAACACTAAGAATTTGTTTTTATTTTTCAAAAGAGCCTCTACATAAAACCATTCCAATAATTCTCTTTTATGATTTAACCATTGAAATTTTGAATTAAAAATAATAATAATAATAATAACTTTAACTAGAAAAATACTATTTTTTTGCAACACATTACCAAAAAGAAAAAGACAGAAAAAAAAAAGCCCACTGGTTTTTTAAATAATAAAATACAAACTCTCAAGTGGTTAAACTGAAAAAAAAAATACATAAGATTTTTATGGAATTTGGCCAAAAACAAAAATGAAAGTCGACATGCATCATATTATTACTAGCATAATAGATTAAACAAAAAACAGAGGGTAACATAAATGAATTCAAGATTTTGTTTACTTTTTTCTTTTCTTTTTCTTTAACTTTAAACTTGTAACACCGCCAAAATCCTGTCAAAACTGCCAACTAATTTTCCGAATTCAACCAGCAGGCTGGTGTTTAGTCCTTACTTCTACTATATACTCTATAACAGAACAAAGACACACTCTCTCAAATTTACAATCAAAACACACATCACTTTTTTCTAATTCACCCACTACACCCTTTCTATATATTAATTCCAATCCACATCCCAAATCATCTCCACTTGTGTCCAAATGACACCCAACTTCACATTCACAACTCCCAACTTCCCGCCCTTCAAAAAATGTCTTAATATTTTTATAAAGATTTAAAGATAACGATGTCACTGTATCGTGAACGTCTTCTGTTGTCAAATTACTTGACTTTTTCTTCTCCTCCCATGAAGAGATTATAATTGTCCGCATCACGTTTTGGAGATTTATCATGCATTTGGGGCAAAATCGATATAAGCATACACCAGTTTGAGGTTTTGATACTTGGTTTGTAGATGGGTGGTTGATATTTGTGCTTTTCTTCTCATTATCTGTTGGATTATTTTTGGATAAAATTTGGTCACAAGAACCATCGGGAATGATAACTGATTCTTCATCAACATGAACAAATCCATTGGAAAGCTTAGATGAAGTAGACTCTTGAGTCTCTATTATAACTTGGGTGGAATTCGATTCATCAACAATCGAATCCACATGTTCAATGGATTTACTTTCAAATCCTTCTGTATTTTCTTTCAAGGATTCTGAATGTGAGGGTTTCTCCATAATAGGCTCATCATCATTGTCATCGTCTTCAACAATACCATTTTTTGCCTCCATGATTTGAGGTGTCTCAAGACTGAAATAAAAGTCAAAGTCAAAGTCAAAGTCAAAATGGTTGACTTGTAAAAAAAGTTGAAAAAATTAATATACCTTTGGAGTGTGTAAGCCCAGCTGTTCACCATATCTTCAAGATACGCAACTTGTGATAAAACACGACCAAATTGTCTTCTGTCTTTTCCACCTTCAACTCTCGCATTAATTTCTAAAGTCAAAGCCTCCAACACTTTCCTAACATCTCTTGTAACTTCACGTAATGACGAATATACCCCTCTACACGCCAACAAACCAACAGCCATCAACCCACGAACAAATCCATATTTTACTTTCCCTTTAACATTACTACCACCAACAACCGACAACTTTGCTGACGTGTCACTAGGTCGGATAATACAAGAATTAAAAGGCCAGCCTTTCCCTTTCCAAGTCCCATTAATTTCAGTAAACGGGCCTTCTTTTAGCTTTGATGTCACCCAACAAAGTTCAGCAAAATGAGGGTATTGTAGGATTTGGTAACCAAATGTTGAGATTGCCAATAGTAGATTTGATTTTCCTTTTTCTTCCTTTTTTGTAGGTGGGAGTGAAGAGGGGGTTTGGTTTTGGAATGTGTATTCTTCTACGGGTGTGTCGGTGTCCACGTCAGCATTGGGTGGATGAGCTTTTTGATGAGTCAGCTCGATGAAATATCGTGCCACGTCATTTGATAGCTTTTTAGCAGATGAAGTTACGACAATATCACGGTCAAGGTCAAAGTCAATATTGACCGAAAATCTTGGTATTGTACTCCCAACATGACTTGAAGGATTGAGGTTCTGTTTGTTTCTTGTTCCAAAAAAATCCTTTATTCTTAATGGGAGTAATTCAAACGGGACTTCTGATGTAGCCTGTTTGAGAATAACATCGATTAGGAAGTATAATAAGGGTATTTTTGTCTTTTAATGTTTTACCAAGATAAATTCTTACCAGGATCATCAAAGATGAGGAGATGAATATGGACTCCGCCTGCTCAACAAAAGAGCTCCAAAGGTGAGAGGACTTTAAGACTGAGGGTATTTCGGTCTTTTCAGGTTTTTCCTTTTCTTCTTCATCAACTTGATTGTATGTTTCCAATGCCCACAAATCGATTCTTGGCATGAATATCATGCATGAACCAACACCAGCACATCTCACTGCAAATAATTTATCATCATTAAAAGTTTACAAAAAAAAATGAATTCCAATTTCAAATTTTTAATTATTTTGAAAATTACCTAAAATTTGGGAAAGCCCCTGAAGCATGTCCCCATTTCCTTCGTGCAACATGGTAGCCAAATCAACCTTCTGAAGCACAGCATTTCCAACAAAACACTGAAGAACACAAGAAGCAAGATGCCTTTGTCCACTTCCAGGATTTCCAGATATCAACACACAATACCCCGATTTTCTTTTGTATAAATCATTCATCATAAATCCATTATTCACTTTCCCCTCATCATCACACCCACCATTTCCAACCAAAACACCCGCACGTACAAGACTCAATTCCACCTCACTTGCCACATCAGCATCCTTCATCAAATCCTCAACTTTCCCCCACCAACAATCACTCTCCTCTCTCCTCCTCTCCAACACAGAAACAACCACTTCCTTAATCAATTCACCACATTTCAAAATCGACCCCGGTAAACAAACACGCTCATCCAAATACAACAATAAAACCAACCTCAAAACCGATCGCAACAAACACGGTAAAAGATAAACAGGAAGGACAGATGTCACGATATCATTCGCCGCCATTCCCGCTTCCCTACGAGAACACGGAGGCGGCGCACACGACAACGCCTCCAACCAATCCCGCTCGTGAACCGTAAACGAAGGCAAAACAGGTCGTTTCCCAAAACGCCCTTTCTCTTCAGCACATGACAAAAGTTTATCCCATGGACACCTCCTTTTCAAAGCAATAATAGCAGTTTGAGTACACAAAGCTTGAAGATCTGCTCCGGCAAATCCCACTGTTTTTTTAGCAATCAATTTCAACAAACTTTTATCCATTACACTAGGCCATTTTTGTGTATGAAGAGAGAGAATTTCCTCCCGATCTTTCACACCCGGAAGTGGGAAATAAATTTCCCGATCGAATCTTCCGGGACGCCTCAAAGCGGGATCGATCGCATCGGGTCGATTTGTTGCCCCGATTACAACAACCGATCCACGGGATTTTAACCCATCGAGTAAAGCAAGTAGAGTTGAAACAACTGAATTGTGTGTTTGATCTTGTTGGCGAGTGCGTGAAGGAGCTAAACCGTCGATCTCATCGAAGAAAATAATCGACGGTTGAGATTTCTCCGCCACCTGGAATAATAATCTGAGCTGGCGTTCAGCATCACCGACATATTTCCCTAAACAATCCGCTCCTTTTCGAGCAAAATACGCGATCCGTTTATCCCCACGTGCACATGACCCGATTAATGAACGGACAACTAAAGTTTTACCAGTTCCCGGGTACCCGTGTAAGAGAACACCTCTCGGAGGGGTTAATCCGATATTGTTGAAGAATTCAGGGTATAGTAATGGTAATATGACAACTTCTTTTAAAGATTGGATTACGTTTTGGAGTCCACCAACGGATTCCCAACCTTGGAATGGAATTGGGTTTTCCGAAGTTGTTGGTGTTGGTGTGGGTGTGGGTCCACCGATGTAAACGGGTGCGATTCTTGATAAGTCACGTTGGAGTCTTTTGCTTTCGCGTTTTAGAAACTCTTCATCTTCTCCACAATTTTCTAGCCATTTTTCTTCTGCTTCGTTGTCTTTGCGTGATGCGTCGTTTGAGAGCTTTCGCATTTGTGATTTTAGTTTTTTGGTTTTGATTTTTTTAAGGTTTTCGAGGTATTTGGTACCATGAGGTTGGAACAGGTGGCGGTGGTCTGTGCAGGCTATGAGGAATTTTCGGTGGTCAAAGATGCAGCCATTGACACGGGCACAAGGCTGTGTAAAAAGGGATTTAGAAAAAGAATTTTTTAGAAGAGAGATGAAGGAAATGGGAATGAGAATGAGAAGATTACCAGGTGATAAGTTTTTGGACATCTGTCCACACGACACCCAATTGTGGCTCCTCTTCTCCCACATCGGCTGCATTTCAATACCCTTCCTCTACAAAGAGCTGATCTTACATTTTTCAAGCATCCCAAACCAGCAAAATAAACCTTAAGAAGAAATGGTGGAGAAACAGTTAACACTAAGAGAGTAAAAGAAAACATTTATTGCTATTGAAGGATAAACTATACCTCTGGACTCCAAACAGCACATTGTTGATGAACCCATATACCAGCAATACCAAAACGGTCATTTATGGGACCCAAGAGACGTCCAAGCCAACCAGGCTCATCACCAAATCCATCCCATACATCATAGGTAGGTTCCTCAGATGATGAGGAACCACTGTATTCTTCATTATCACTTCCAGCCCCATCATGAACCAAGATCTTTGGAGGTTTACCATCGGTTCCACCTCCACACATACCACAACACCTCCCCTTTTTGATCCGAGGTTTGTGGTGTCTGTGAGCTGGAGAATGAGAATGTTTGTCTTCATCAACTACCTTGGAGTCATCCTCTTGTAAATGATTGACATTGATGGCATCATCTTCAACATGATTGTCAGGGGCACAGGTAACTTCTTGATGTAAACTTTGGTTTTCTTTCTCCTCGGATTCTGGTTGCTCTATTGGCTTACTCTGTTCAGGAGATTGCATTATGTTGTTGCCATTATCTTTAGAATCAGAGGTAACTGGGACTTCATTCTCCTGCTCCAGTAATTCAATAGCAGTACCATTATCTGTTGAACAGGCGTTATTATTGTCTTTTACTGCAATGAGAATACTTGTTTCTTCATCGTCTTTAGCACTGTTTCCCAAACTAATCCCTTCATGCCCATTGCTCACAACATTTGAAGCTTTGATTCTACCAGGTCGCTTTGGCTGCACAATCATCGAGGTCTCACCCACCAAACCCCCTTTCTTGTCATCTAAACGTGAATCCACCAGATCTGAATCTTCCTTAACACCATCTGAATGACGAAAGAGCTTCTTCTTACTCCTGGGAGAAGAATCACCGTTCATAAAAGTTACCTTCCTACCCCTGGCTCTCAACCTAGACTTCCATTCACCTGATTCTTCCTCCTCCAAACCAAATGTAGTTGAAGAAGGCAACGTCTCAGTTTTCAAACCAAAACGGTCCCTGTCTCCAACTATTCTAGAAGAACCATCAGTTCTCTTCCGCTTTTTAGGAGGACAAGGCGACGCATCCAACACCGATGGAGGTCGTCTCACCCTGGAACTCCGCCTGACCTCCGATGTATCATCATTGACCTCATTCAGTTTAGAAGATTCTATCTTATCACGGTTCTGATTAAACGTCTTTTCACATATCAAATCAAGTCTCTTGTGTTTCCGTTTAGCCCTAATCACTTTCTCGTTCCTCTTCTGATTAGACCGAATAGCAGTCCGAGAAAATCGCATGACAACACCGGCACTATATATATTATAGTCCCTGTATACCTACCTATATCTCCACACTTATATATATCCTTGTCGCGATTCAAAACGATTCATACAATGTTATACATAACCGTAATTCCAAATTCAGTCTGCGAGAGCTCAATATAAAGAAACACAGTCACTTACCTGAAAACCTGCTCGATTTGATCAGATTGACGAAGATACAAAAAATGAAACCCTAGAAACCATCGATTAATCCTCTGATTCGATTTCTACGAGCCTCCAGGTCTCCGATTGACTCCAATTAGGTTTTCGCCCTCTCCGTATGTATCGATTTCCCTCTCTATGTATATCTATGGCGTCTCACTGAGTCATGTAAACGAAAAAAAGAGAGGCAGGGGCGGAGGTTCTTGTAGAGAAGGGTTTTTTGGGTTTCGGAGTTTAAAACGGAAAATTTCTGGTAGATTGTTGACCACTCGCTTGGCTAACGCGTGTTCTCTACGTGCCCATTGACTATACGATGCTGTGGGGGTCCGATTGTTTGTAGAGTAGACGTGCTGGTGAGCGGAAGTGGGGGTTAATTATTTAGAGCGGATTGTGATTTTTTATACGTTGAGTAAAAGTATGACCCCTTATTTAATCACTAATCTTAACGTTTTACCCCTAAAAAAACAAACTTTACATTTTAGTCCTTAAAAGTAATAAGTTGGTCCTTTGTTTGATTTAAGATCATTCCAAAATGTTTTGTTTCATTTGGTTTTGTACTTTATATGTGTAACAGTGTATTTTTAATATTTTGTTATGTTTATTATTCACAAATTTATTTATTTATTATATTCCTTAAAGTCTCTCTTAAACATCAAACAAAACGAATAGCATCCAATGACAAACACCATCATTATGATGATCTTAGCCAAAAACGATACTTGAGATCAAATATTATCTTAAATTTACGCATGTAAAGTGATACCACAAAAAATCAGTTATTAAATTAGATATCATCAATCAGTTATTAATCATAAACATATTATTTTTCTATGGTGTATGTATGTATGTATAAAAAAACTATATATATAGCAATTTTTACCTCAATATGTTGTAATAATATGTGTAATGTTATTGATAACTATTTGTTTTTCTTTATATTTTTTTCGTCTATTTATTGCATCCTCCATTAATAATATAAATATTTGTAAATGGTGTCAAATACACCATTTAATACTCCATTCCCACAAACGTTTTTAAACAAAATAGGTTGAAATGGTGCTAAGTCATTGTCTAAGGGTGACCCAAATTGTTGCAAACTTCATATTCTTTAAATTGGGTGCAAAAGTGTATTTTTCATGTAAGAAATGGAAGTTCAATAATAGTATAGGGACATTTTTGTAATATTATTGCACGTATTTGGTTTTTTTGAGTTTTGGCACTCCCACCAAACGTTACCGCCAAATATGTACGCAAATCTATTTGATGTGGGATTTCAATTGAAATATCAAAACCCCCAAAAACATGATCTATAACTCGCTTTTTCAAATATATCTTCTATTATCACTCTAAAAATAATCGTATCCATCATCCATCTAACCCCGTAACCAGTATCAAATATCAACTAAGTCCTTTAAATTTAGTAACATTTCGTTTAAGATTTTGTTGGTAATATAATTTTTGCATTTTGTTTATTTTTAGAAAAAAAAAAAAAAATACATTACAACGTTTATTTTGAGTAAGTGATCATTTTTACAAAATCATATGTATTATTGTGTAGGATCATGCACCGAGTTAGAAGTAGACCTCGTTGAGCCAAACCATAACCGAATGATCAAAATAGTGAAACCATAAATTGAACTAAGTCAAAACAAGTTCAGTTTTGATCTAGAATTAGCTTGGCACCAAACTAGAACTTGAACTAAATACATACTCATGTGTTGTCTTAATTTTATTACTATAAAAATCATGTGTTTGTGATAGACAATTCCATTGTCAATAAACATCAGCAACATAAATGATCTACCGATTAATATTGTCTCATAAAAGTTTTAGCAACGTGCCTTTTTATTTAGTGATAGACCTTTCATCACTTGAAACTTGCCGAAATGTTAGTTTACCAAAAAATATCGTTGTAGTAATTTAAATTTTTTTATCGGTAATTTGTCAAATACTTTTAATTATGATTTTTCACTGTGTATTAGCATCTGCGATATTTTCTTAAATTTTATATTATTTTTAGTGACGTTTCGCATTCGATTTCTTTGTCGCTTTTGCTACCAACAAATTGATACAAATATCAACCTCGGTATTCTCAAACCTAATATTATCAAAAACAACATTTACCATTAACTTGCAATGACAAAAATATTTACTGTCATACTTGTAATGATATAAAAATCAATAACTAAAGTTATCAAGAGTCACAATTAAAAAAAAAAAAAAAAAAAAAAAAAAAAAAAAAAAAAAAAAAATGATTATCATGTTGTCAAATGTATAATGTTTGCATTGGTGTGTCCATTTCTTCATGTAATTATCATGTTGTCAGATCATTGTATTGTTAAGGTGTCAAACTTAACAAATAAAATAGATATAATAGACTCCAAATACATTGTTATAATACACTAAAAAAATAGTACAATGAAACAAAATTAATCCTCGGACACAAGACAATTATTTATGCCTTTTCGCACATGGTACAAATTAATCAAAAAAAACATAGGGGTTTGTAAGATTTTGAAGAAACAACTAAAGAAATAATACGTTGTTAGAGAATTTAGAAATGTAAAGGTTTCAATTATATGTTTGGCTATCTTGGGAATGTGATTTAGATATGATATGACATTTACTCAATTTCATCTAAGATGGTATTTGAAAGTATTAATAAGCTAACATTTCTCATTCACTAAATAATTAGATTCAAAACAAGCTCTTTGAAGCTAACCTAATCTTTGAATTCAAGTTAAACAAACTCTTAGAAATAAATCAAAAGATTGCATTAATCTTTATATGAATGTTCACAACAGCACTAAATACTCATCACAAGCTATGGAACGTAAGAATGTGTGAATAAGATTTACATTAAAAGCATTCATTGGAAATCAATTTAATGTTATTCACAAAATAGTTACGGATTTTGCAATTTAGATAACTTGGATGATCTAACCCCAATTCAAAATTACGAATTTTGCAATTTAGATAACTTGGATGATCTAATCTCAATTTAAATGGCCAATAAGAATCAAAATTGATATCAAACTCTCGATTGAAACAAAATCGAACTCAATATATAGATTTTTAACATAAACATCATGTCATATGATAAACCGCAAACCACAAGTCGGGACATATAATTGGAAAACTATGGTTCTAGCCAGACATAACTAGAACAAAATCAACAAGTCTATAAATTATAAAAATATACAATTATTAAACTTTCTTTTGTGAGCTACATAGCTAATAGTATGATTTCTATTGAACATAGTACAACCATCCTTTTCCTGTTATTACCTTATTGAAATAATAGTCACAAAAATAGCCCTTATATTCTTCTTCCTTAATCATAAATCATCCAAATTATAATAATAATAAAAAAAAAAGTGTAACATCCCAAAAATTCAACAAATTTTAAAGTTTTTCAAAACAACCCTTTTTGTCAAATAGAAGTGTTACAAAACCATTGTTTCAAAACATTATTTAAAATTAAAGTCTCCCAAGATCCAATTAGTTGTAAAAGCAAGGATGTATATGGTCACACCTTCGCCTTGCCACGATCCACTTAAGTACCTGAAACCATAAACCAAAATTGTAAGCACGAAGCTTAGTGAGTTCCCTTAAAATACCAACATACTAATAAATAACATATTCAAATAACAGCATGTATTAAGTCCACAACTAAAAGACTGGATTACCCATGAGCCCACAGTATGCGCTTGGCTTGCCTATCAGGCCCACAACTCATATTTGGCTTGCTCCTAAGCCTACATGTAACATCCCAATTTTCAAGACCAAAAATTTTGTTTTTAATTAAGTAACTTATAAAACAATTTACTAAAAAACATCAACGATTCATATCATTTCATAAAACCTCAGTCATGTGTCTAAAAAAACCATAACATAAAATATTAATAATGTCAGAGTACAATCCCATGGATCTCAAAGTGAGGAAATCATATGTGTGTGGGTGATATGCAGCTACCGCGCCGGCTCCTTCCCCTTCGCTGAAGAGGTACTGAAACAAAACTAAAAATTGTAAGCACGAAGCTTACTGAGTTCCCCCACCATACCACATACCACATAACATACATACTGCCGGGCAATTCTGGGGTGTCCGACCTACCCTGTTCGGCCATTCTGGGGTGCCGACCTACCCTGTCTGGCAATTCTGGGGTGCCGACCTGCCCTCCAGTTTATCCCAACCGGCTACGGTGACTATTTCACCCCTACTACTACCACATAATAATAATATAGCATAAACATATTGTCAGACATATCTGGGGTGCCCGACCTACCCTGTGGTCCTTACGACCGTAACTCGGGGACTATTCCCCTACTGCCTACTATCACCTAACATCGTATCATGCTAGCACGTAATCATAACAGATATCAACAAACCAGATAATTATCATGAAGACCATTATCTCTACTATGACTCTTACTAGTGGGTCGGCCTTGGTGCCGTAGACCCACCTCTACTGGAAGGGAACTCACATTAGTGTCGTGAAGTGTCTGAACTGTCCTCGCTATCGGGATCAACTCCTCTCGACTCCTACACATAACAACCTTACTTAATTTACCATTACATACTCTTAACCCTTACAAGGATTACTCAGGTCAAAGCCAAAGTCAAGGTCAACACCTTGGTCAACGTTAACTATGGGTCAAAGTCAACATCTGGTTGACTCAACTCGCCGAGTTGACCCCCACAACTCGTCGAGTTCCATAATCCTGAGAACGCTAAAACTTCGATCCTACTCGTCGAGTATTACAAGAACTTGTTGAGTTCTCCTTTAACAAATTCGGGACCTTCTATAACCGACTCGCCGAGTTTATCCTTGAACTCGTTGAGTTAATCTTCATCCGGGTTAAAGTGTTTAGTCCTTAACTCGCAGAGTTCTTCTCGAACTCGTCGAGTTCGTCTTCATATGGTTGGGACATTGCCTTGAACTCGTCGAGTTCTTCGATCTTCAAGCCTCTATTCCAGTCCATCTTGTTGAGTCCTCTTCTAGACCCAACCAGATCGATCCGAAGCCAAAAAGGTTGTGGAACCATACCCTGACTCGCCGAGTCCCCCAAAGTCCATGTCCATTCAGTTGATTTCAGTCGAGCCAATGCATCCATAACATAGATCTGACCTCCTAGGGTCCATATTACACGTAAAGCCACGAACTTTACGTCCATGCATGGGTCTTCA